TAAAAGGCCTCACTTTGCATTGCTTTGTTGCAGAATTTACTAATTTTAGAGAAAGTAGATGTATTTGGTCCTAACTATCTCGCTTCTGCCCGCATCCTCTCTAATCAACTCCCATACAATGAAGACTCCTCCTTAAACAAGGTTTGTTTGAAGACTTCCATTTATTTTTAACCGACTTCAAAAAATGTATGTTACGGCATAACTTTGGACCACGTTAATCGATTTCTATATTTATTTTTTTAATGAAAAGGTGGTACCACCGAGATGGTCCCATACTAATTTGATTTACTCATAAAATTTTGGTACTCATAAAATTTTATATGAGAATTGAAGTCGGTTTTAGTTTTTTGCTTAAAAATTACTTGTTTTTTTTTGTTTTTTTTTCATACATTCTCTTTAGTGAACTCCTCTGTCACGAATTTCCCTTGTACGCAAAACGGCTCTTTCTTAAAAAAATGCTCCTCTAAATAACGAATTTTTACGACCATCATGGTACAGTGGTTAAAGTTGCGTACTGCCACACAAAACAAAAAAAAAAGTAATGACTGGCTTCAACGACTTCGTAATAGAGAAAATACGGTACATAATTTTGCAGAAATCTTGTTTTTTTTACATATGTATATAAGTGTTAAATTACAAATTGGGATAACACAGCAAATTTGCTTGACTTAATGCTAAACAAATATTTACAAAGGTGCATATGTATGTACATTAAGGTGCATCCTTCTCCATACGAAAAAAATCTGTACTGTTTTTCCATCGGCATTATAAAACTTATTTCGCCAAAATATTAAGATTTACGTAAGATGGGCCCCTTTCAAAATACCGCTAACAAGTGAGTGTTTTATAAATAAAATTAGTTTTCAAAAACACAAGTATTTTCCCAAAAAACAACACCTCAAATGATAGATGAGAGAAGGTCTGCAAAAATTGTAGCAACGCAATTAAAATAATAAGATTTTTGACTTAATATGTTTGCCAGATATTTTGGCGGAGGTCTTAAAATATAATACACTTCATAATTCCGGTGAAAAAAACGCAACTTTTTTTTGGTGAGACACCCTAATGTGCAAACAAAAATATGTTCCCTAAACATTTGCGTACATACGCAGAACATATGTATGTATGCATGAATTCAGGAATGTTCATGTACTACTAATTTCATCTCCTAAAATATGCATGTGTGTGAGTGTTTAGTAGTGGGCCGCTCCAAAATTGGAAGATTGACACAAAGACAAATACTTTTATATAATAAAACTTTACCCGGTATTTGAGGATACTTTTGCAGGAAGTTGGCGCGCAGCAAACGCACAGCAGCACGCAATTCCCCTTCGACCGGTGTTTCCACAATTTGAAAGCAAACACTGCCAATTGCTAAGTAAACACAATAAAAGAGTGTAAAGCAAAGTAAACGAATATTTTGCTTGCGCCCACATTCCCACTTTTTGGCGGCGGCAACGCTGCTTTGCTTCTTGGTGACATGATGGTATCCAAGGTTAAAGCTGGAGCAACTTTGCCCAGCGCCTCCGCCACAGTCTTGCACGGTGCAAGTGCCATGCGAACGCACCAGCACAATTGAACCAAGGCTAATACCATTATTGAGACTCTGCGTTGATTGATTGTGAAGGACGCAATGTGGCGACGGCGACGGCGACGACGACGACGATTTGTGTTGGGTCAGGCTGTTTGCAGGTGTTGGATGGTGTTTGGTGTTAGATGTCGCCGCTGGCGTAAGATTTAATGTCGTGTCGGAAATTGAGAAAATGCGATGCTTTGGTTGATTTCGTTGACCAAACGCTGTAACGGCTGCCGCTTGGGTTCGACTCTCAACGCACGCTAAGCGAGGTAGACTTTCCTCTGATGATTGATTGCACTTATCCAGATCCTCGTAGCCATTGCGTCGAAAATGAAAAGCTTTCGAAGGCATCATTACATTTACGCTTGTGGTAGTAATGAATAGTGAGGAGTGGCGGCACGTGACATGCCAATATGAACAGTGCTTAAGTGTCTTGACACGTTATTAACCTTTTTTTCTGGCTAACTAGATATTCTCGTAAAAGTGTTGAAGTGTGCATTTGGTGTAAGTAAATGTGTAGATAGATGGTTAAATACTTGTGTACTCTATGACAACAAAAATTACTACCGGGCACGATTTAGATTGATGTTATGCATAATCACAACGACGAAATTTGACACCAACGTGGATTTACTTTTTTCACACGCACGTACACTTTTTTATGAAAAATTTTTAGAGGTCCACTAATAGTGAAACCAATGGCAATACTTTATTTAGTTGCTGTTCGTTTGCTACTACATTTCTGAATTTAATTTTTAAATTAAAGTCTAACTTGCGGTTTATTAATCTCACTCGTCGGTCGCTTACTCATCAACTGAATTCTGGAATCAGAGATTTGAAATGTGCGCTGATCACTTTAATTGTGCTTGTGCTTGAAATTTTGCTGCGCGTTGCACTTTTTCGCTTTTGTTTATATACATACATATGTATGTACTATACATACATACATATCTATGTTTACATAACTACTTGAGTAGTGAAAGAAAATGCTTCATTTGTTAGTATCAACTATTTACTATAAAGCTAAATTGTTTTCTAGACAATATTCATACATATATATGAGCATATATATGTATGTATGTATTTATGTATTTATGTATGTATGTATGTAAGTGGATGTATGTACATGCTAATATATATTAAGATTTAGGCGTATTCTAAACCCCACATTGTGCACAGTGCTGTCTATCTTTCCAGCCGTTTGGTTGTGCAAATGACGATCATAAGATATGAATCTTTGAGATATGTAGCCAGATGAGTAATAATTTAAACTTTCTTGCTTGTAAGTGTGCTTAAAGATAAGAAAGAAACTGTTTCTAGTTTACCCTAGTGCTCTTTTCATAATCTACTTTTGCATCTGACCTTTAACTGAAAAACTGGGATTCTTGCAATAACGAAATTGCGCTCTCCCCATTACACAAGAAACTACCGGGAGAACAGATTTTTTAAACATCACGTGTGCGCACCAGTGTAACCAGGTTAGCCCTTTTGAGGCTAGATTTAGCAATTACATTTTTTCTCTAGCCTCGCAAGTTTAGGCTTCGTGTTTTTTTTCTGGCTTTTTAATGCTACCTTTTCTATAAATAATATTCATATTTTTAGTGATCTGAGAAAAAAATTGATTTTGTTGAAATATTAAAAAAAAAAAATTTCTAGCTGGAAATTTTTGAGTAACGAGACTTATTTTTCGAAATTCTAGCAGCCAAGATGAAAGAGTGTTTGAATTGCAACGGTAAAATCTTACAGCAAAACATAGGCAACATAACATAGGCAACATAAGACGAGCCGGCAAAATGAGGAGCTCTTACTGGCCGTCTCCACAGCATACAATTTATTGCTGTCCAGCCGTCCCTATGGTCGCTAGATATCAATGATATCAGTGGCAATATTTGTGGGGGCTTTTTATATCTTGATGTAAGCATTTGTAAGATAGCTTCTAAAACGCATTTTCGCCGGATTTAAGCACTTAAAAATTAAAAACATATGATATTTTACATCCAAGTACATAATAACAAATATTTCAACACCTCAATTTTTGCGTTTATATTAAAATATCAATAGTGTTGCCGCCACGAAGTTTTCCTGCAAATGAAAATGTAGCTGTCAAACTACCAAATTGCCGGCAATAGATGGCAAGATATAAGCTCTGATATATATTACTCTTAAGGGGCAATGAGCGGTCTCCATTGGCTATTTATATTCTAACATATGTATCAAGATTTAAACTTTATCCTGTGGATACGGGCAGTTAGGTAAGACTTTACCTTTGGAAGCTATATTAGAAGACATTCCAATAGCTCTGCTATTCGGAAGCAGATGAGAAGTTTTTCTTTTAAAGGTGCTGTTCAATTTTTCGGCATAAAAGTGCTAACTTTTTTTGCTTCTAAATTTTTCTGAGCTGTTCTTTAAGTCATTGTTCATTGATACTAACTACTAACTAATAACAAACGAACGCAATCTTGCTGAATAGCACCTGTTTTGATTTTCTTCGTATGTATTACGAAAAAGCATCCGTAAAGTGCAAAATACTTCATTTTAATATGGGCGTATTTGAATTAAATATTTCTATTATACACTTATTTTGAACTCGTTTTCATTTGAATTAAATAAGTTTTTATTTGATTTTACTATTTTCCTCCCTCAGTGTTTGTATATCGCTTAAGTGCACTGAGAGCTTTTTGCGGATCCCGTACAATTTCTGAGGAAGCGTCCTTTCATTCTGGTACAAGAGAGGAAAAGAATATATAATCGCCTGTCCGAGAATAACGATGGTCTACCGCGAAATAATAATAGCTACCGAAGAAAGGCGACGTTCTATGGAAATCTGGCCGAGATGATGGGACGACTCAGAAACAGGGAGGTGGTCACACAGCTCATCACCAGCGTTGAAAATGGCTGAATAGACCTCATGGTGATTACAGTTTTCACTTTCCCGTACTGTTCTAAGTGCATAGGAATGAATGAAAACGTGTAACACATAATACGAAACATACTGCAACTGTCGTTTAAAGTACAAAACCGCGTATCGTCATTCTGAAAAACCGCGTAACTGACATTTGCTGCCAAAAATTTGATTTGATCACACTAGCTCTTGGCTTAATCCTTATCTATTCGTCCTGAAATATACTAGTCAGAAATGCGATTGGTTTATAAAAAGGATAACCATTTTGAAATATGAGTGTTTTTACTCTCTAGAAAATAATATATCATATACGCGGTTTTGCATTTTGTTGATACGCGGTTTTGTACTTTAAACGACGATATGTTAGCTTCAAGTGGGAGCTGGAAAAAGATATGTGCTCATGTCAAACGCATCCATATAGATTTAGGGCGAGCTGAGCATCTAGGTAGCCATGATAATACGTAAGGTGCCCCGTGAAGTAAAACTTGAATGGCAGTTCCACGGGGAGAGTGGTTTGGGGTTCGTGGAGAGGTTTTAGTACAGAGGTGCAGCCGTGAGTCTTCAAGTCGTCCGCGCTGCTATGCCGATATTAGTACAACGAAAAGTTTCCTCTTTCAAGGGCGTTATCTGATAATAGTTTGTTTAATTTAAATCGAATTCCAATCAAATTACAACAGCCTTTGAATGCATTTTATTTTTATTTTATACTTTTTTTTATATTTGAGATTTTTTAAATAAATTTAATTTGTATCGCACAAGGCGAATGCATATCGACTGCTGAGTGGAAGATCGACCTATCTCGGCAGCCAGTTCGGAAATGCCCTATATGAGCACATTTTCAATACATTTTGAAGAAAGATAGGGCATTTTTGAACCGAATTCTGAGATAGGGTGTTTTTCAATAAAATTCTGAAATAGGACGTTCTTGAAATATTTTTTGAGATAGGGCGTTTTTGATCTGGCTGCCGAGATAGGTCGATCTTCCACTCAGCAGTCGAGATAAGGTGGTATCGATTCTACAAATTCAACAATTACTTGTATTACGATTTTGCTTTCAGCGTGCTATTGTCAAATTTCAGCTATTCTTCCCTGAATGAAGATGAGCGACAGAAAACACAAACATTCTCTCGTTTTCACTCACTCACTAGCGAAATACAAAATTTTGACAATCAAACACTCCTCACAGCTGATGAAACAACACCACCTTATGTTAATTCGCCTTGATAGCACAATTATAAAGCAAAAGTCAAAAAATGTATTTATGTCAGACAGTTAATACGGCTGAAAAAAAATTGAGTGAAACTACCTTCTTTTTTTACCATGGTCGAAACACTGTGTTCCACTGGTCTCCAATTATTCAATTTCTTACAAATAATAAGTTTCCTTAAAAACACAAATTTT